TTAGTAGGAAGTTCTCCATAAATTAATAGATAAGCAACTTCAAGATATGTAGATTTCTCAGCAAGTTGTTCAATTGGATATCCACTAATTTATTTAATTTGTTATTATCAATGTTGTATTATATTAATATTTACTTTTATTAATATCTCTCCTCTCTTATAACCAATCAAAATACTTACCGATATCTTAAAACGCCAGCATCGCCATTAATATAAGTAATTTTTGATTTTGCGACTGCTGTATTTTGAAATGCTATAAAATAAAATAAAATAATTTAATGAATTGATTTTTTAATACCGTAAATTTTGGAAAGATAACACCCCTTCCCTGAAATCATTTGAAAAAACTGTTACACGGTTGTAAAAAGGGGATGCTATCTTTCCGGACTTTACGGTAATTGGAAAAAAAAATACCTGGGTCGTAAACTCTATTTAAACAAAAAAAATATTTAGATTTATGTAATCATTTCTATAAAAATCAGTTTACAGCCAACCCCTCTCCAAGTACACCCCATCGAACTGGGTGAGAACGCGCGCATTCAGAGGGGATGCACTTTAAAAAAAAAATAGAACAAACCTTAAACCTTTACTACTTTCATCCTCCTCGCGAGAATTTGGTATTGGATCTGCTGTCATTTCCTTGAATTTGAGAGCAGGTATTGTATTGTTCTCAATTGGAACTTCATAAATTTTATTTGTTCTATTATCTAAAACTGTAAGAGATTGTGTGTTTGAACTTTAATTTAAAACAATAAATTGTGAGTTAATTAATCATGGATCATTATAAATAATAATAAGCATATGTTTTTCAATTAATTACTTTCTTGGTAATACTATAACACCAGTAGATTTTGGAGGCGAAGTCTTTCCACCTGTTTCTGGAGAAGGTAAGTTCCAAGAGGTCCCAGAGACCTTGTCTGTCAAGACGAGATTAGAACTAATGGTATATTTAGTTTAATAAATTAATTAATGGTTCGTAATTTTAACATTATTTTAGTATAATAATTACCTTTGAGTCATTTTGTTAATTTTTTTTCGAGCGGAAAAAAAGGAAATCAATAAATATTATATCATTGAAAATCTGATTATCAAATTGATAAAATTGGTAATATTGATTATCTGATTATTTGTTATCAACAAGTAACAAACAAACAAAGATACGATTCTACCCGCTATTGCATGCCTCAAAGTATACTAATCTTGTAAATGTTAAGAGTTATTAGTTAACGATAATGATATATTAATAATAATTGCAGAAAAAGAATTTACAAGATTGATAATTGTTAGTTTATAATAATTTTTTAATACATATATAGTTTGTACAATTAATAATTTTTTTATATGGGGAGTCTCAACCGAAAATGAGTCAATTTTGAAAATCACAATTTTAAGAAAAACCCCCTTAAAGTTGCAGATCTTTTAAGTTCAATATGTTATTGCAAACAGTTTTCTTGACATATCTCGAAATTTTATTAAGTATGGGTATATTTCTAAGATAAAAAGATTCACTGACACAAATTATATATTATTATATCATTATCTAGAAAATGACAAAAAAAAAAAATTGACTCATTTTCGCTTGAGACTCTCCATATATAGTTTGTGCAATTAATTAATAATTGTATTTACTGTATATGTTGTTTATAATATAAAACAATTAATTAGTTAACTCCACAAATTACTCACTATTAATTTCCAAAACACCTTTTGCTGTGTTAACAATAATAATTTCACCAAATTGTAAATTGTAATGGTTGATGAATTTAGCTCTTTTTCCAGAAGACAAATCCTCTAGTTCACTGACATTCATATAAACTAGTTTGGGAACCTTTATTAACACATTTCATCTGTTCTAACACTGGCCGATTATCAGAATATTTAAGTTTAAGCCGATATCTTTGGGTCGGAATGTTTTCTGGTGTTGTCTGAATAGGTTGATCATCAGGTTTAACATGATTTCCACGTTGGACTAAAGAATCAAATCCTTCTCGATACAATATTGAAGCAAGGCTCAAATTCATTTTTGTTTCAGAGATTAATACATACACAAAAATTCGTGGCATTTTATTATCGATCTGTCCTACAATGAAGTATTAATATGGGTAAACCGGTTTAAGTTTTTTAATAAATAAGATTAATCTAATCTAATTTACGTTATCTTATAAATATAGTTAAAATCCTTAATGTTTTTCAAAAACATGCATATCTTGTATTGATAAATATCTATATTCTTTATGTTTTGAGTTTAATGTCTTCGTAAACCATCAATATTTTATACGCTTAATTTGATTCTAATTTACAAAATAGTGTTCTATTCGTATCTTTAACTCCATATTCGAATATTCGTAATTTTATGGAAATGATATTCGATTCATATAATACTTTCGAATACAGTAACACTTTCAAATACTTTCAAATACTTTCAGATATTATAATGTTGCAATTATAATATCAATATATATATATATATTTTATTAATGTAACAATATTTCATGTAATTAAATATATAAGTTTTTTAAAAAATATGAAAACTACATTTTTACTGAGCGTGCATGTATTGCATGATAATTGACCCAAATGTTTCAAACTTAAACAGTAAAATAAAGAAATAATTTGTTTGACTATGATGTTTAGGCTACTTCTTATTTATTTCTTATCATGATTTAATTATAGCGTAAATTATTACACAGATATTTAAAAGTCGAAAGTGTTACGGATATTCGAATATATAAAAATTATTTGTATTTGACATTAACATCAATTTCGAATATGCTAATTAAATGTGAATATTCGAATAGGAACACTAGTATTAATTAAAAACTAGAAAATATCAAACAGTTGTCAGGTATTTAATATACTTGCTTGGATCATTCTTATAATTGTATATATATATATTTATATTTCAGTATTTTTTTAATTTTTTAAAGACAAACAAGTTTTTGTAAAAAAAAATTTTTAGTAAACATATACATAATAAAATGCGGATTATTATCAAAAGATTTTGATATAGCGCAGGACATCTATAACGATCAATGATTATCACATGACTTTAAAAGCTTATAAAATAGTAAACCAATAGAATTAAAGTTAAAACCTAATACTAAGCTTCATTCCATCGATTTACTTTTTTCATTAATGATATATATTCCCACTATTGCTAAATATTTGTCATCATCAACACTATTGGTTTCATCAATCATTATGCTCCAATAAATTGAGGAATTTAATTCTTCAAAGAGAGATTTTTAATTGTATAGGCTATACTATCTAAAAAGTCAATAGCGGATACATGATTAGTATAACTTCCATATTTTGATTTAGATGGTAATGGCTTTTCTAATGAAGCAGGTTTCAAGGTGGAGTTTTTATCACTAATTATTAATTCCCCATTATTTTCAATTTGTAGAGATGTTAATTTGCATAAATTAGATAAGTGTTTAAAGGAATATTATCTTTTGAACAGCAATAAACAACTCTCATTAAGGAAATAATTTCTAATTTTTTCGTGCTTAATTGTCTTGAAGTATCTGGTTTAAGTAACTCTTCAGATTTCCTATGTTCATTGGTTTTTTAATTCTTTCTATCCTAAATAAAGATGTATCTTTTGCAAATATTGTTGTTCCATTGCAATTTCTACAAATTCTACAATATAAAATCATATTTCTATTAACAAATTCAGTTTCCAACCATGGATAATTATCAAACCACTTGGGATCAACAGCTTTTCTAACATGTAATCTTTTAAGCTCTTAATTATCAGACAAATCAATTAATATTGGAAAATTTGACATTTTAAAATATTTGAAAGAATTAATTTGTTTAATAATTTATTCCCGAATGATATTTAATTTAATTTGTGGATACTAATATAAATAAATAAATAATATTTTCGACACATGGAAATTTAGTGTAACGTGATATTCTCTGATTTAATCATAAATATTGCCGAATATGAGGCCTTTTTACTTTATAAATGACTTCAATGAGAGATAAGCAGATATGGGAATCATAATAGACAAAACATTTTATGCAAAATAATTTTATATCATGAACCGCCATTATTTTCGTTACACATTGTATATGGAGCTGAAAAATATAATTTTTTAAATGCAAAATATGTTTTTTATATATTAATATAAAGTAAATATTTCAAGTCTTATATTTCATTATTTTACTAAGTAATCATGATCTAATATTTCCCTAATTATAACTTAAATTTCGTCGGAGGATCCCGGAACCAGTTTTTGCTAGAGAACCCCTCATATGTTCTAGAAGTTCAATCGTCTCGTTCCTTTATTACCGGAAATTATTGATATTTAAAAATCTTTATTAAATTGGTGTTAATTATTTCCAATTTTCGTCACATGTAATCTTTTAATTTTTCTTAATGGGGTAAATTTCATTGATGTCTATGCCACACAACACACAGCATTGTTTGTTTGTTATCTTCATTGAAGATTTTAATACCTTTTCTAGTAATTCTCACTTAGTTTAATAGATTACTTCATTGGTACTGGGACTGACTTCCTATTACCTAGGTAATATTCGGATCAATCAACAATATCTATTACTATTATTACTATGATGATGCAATTAAAATTATTAAATCGAGACTGAATAAACTATAGATTTTGCTTGACATGAAATCTTTAATTTAAATATATATAGTTTTTAATGAAATGGCCTTATATAAAGTTAATTTGGAAATTATTTTGTGAGTTATTATTATTATATACTAATAAGTTATATGAGCAGGATGTTATTTCCTTTAATAATAATAAAAAAATCGAATGAAAAATAAAATAAAAGTATTTTTCTTTAAACACTACACTATCATGACATAAGTGTGTTCCTCTACTACTATGAACTTTACACATCAATAAGGTCATCATTTTATTGAAAGTTCAATAATGAGTTTTTTATTATTTCTTCCTTAAAATAATGCATAAATAAATAAAATCATTAAAAATTGATTTTGATTCAAAGAAATGTCAAAAAAAGTTTTTGTAATATTCACGCGAGTATTACATACTGTACATGTCAATTAACTTAAAACTAATATGATGATCATCAATAAAAGAACATTTCTTTGTTTAATCCTAGTTTACCTTTTTTAATTAAAAATTATGTGTGATTCTCGGAACATCATGTAATCAACATGCAAAAATTAGATATAATAATTGGACAATTAACAAAGTTATTATTTTGTTGTGTGTGAATGATAATAACACTCAATATGGTCAAAGAAATTTATATTGTGATGCAAATTGAAAATTGTGACAAGAACGTGATTGATTTTAAAAGAATATAAGTATCACCATTTCCCTTGTTCTTGTATCAAAAGAAAAAGCTCTTACTCTCTTTCTCGCTCAATATATATATATCTATCTATTTCTCTCTCTCTCTCTCTCTCTCTATTTCTATATATATATATATATATTTTTCTCTCTCTCTTCCTCTTCCTCCCTCCCTCCCTCCCTCCCTATAAAGAACAAAAATGCTGATCCACATATTTAAAAAACCGCAAAAAAACGAACTAACATCGATTTTAATTTTTCGACGTTTATTTATTGTCATATCATTATCATTGTTGATCGGTTCCCTTTCGATATTGTGTTATAGAGTACTTAACGAACAGCCTAGTATTACTATCTCTCTTACACCAATAAAAGATCCAACCGCGCCAGGTAAAAATATTTTTTCGAGTTAAAAAATATCACGAAATTCCAATTGTATATATGTTTTCTAATATCAAAACCGCAAATCAACGCAGCCGTTCATTTAGGTTTCGGCAAAGATTTTAACATTTCGTGTTTACTATATTATGATTACGCTGGAAGTAAGTTGAACTTTACATAATTTGCTTTATTATTATTTCATATTATGCATACACATTAATCAATATCTGGTTCAAAATACTCAAAAGAAAATTCAACCAATTGCGATCAATACGTTATACAACCAAAGAAAATTGGTTACGAAGATTATCCATATGTTGGATACTTTTCACCAAAAGGAAGCATTAATTTGACCCAATATTATATTGATTCAGGACCATATTTTGTTTATCTTTATGTAAACATCAAGGATTCCACCGATGATTTTACTCAAGAATTTAGGATGACTGTATATGATGAAGGCAAGTTTTCATAAAATTGATGGCAGATCTTGTTTATATTTGCTGGTTTGATAATAATATGCCATACATAAATAAATAGAAAGTGAATACGATATGCAGAATCAAAGTTTTGTTGCTCCGACCTCTCCATTCGAGAAGTCACTTTTCTATATGAATAAACATACTTTAGTAGGACGTAATGTAGGTGTACTTGAAATCATCATTATAGAAATAGGATAGGATAAATTTGCAAATTAACAAAAAAAATTATAAAAAAAAATCAATAGAAATATAAGCTAGGCTACTCCAGAAGAACAAGAGAGACGTTGATTACAACGTTTTGGACTTATTTTGGCACACCGATTCCAGTTTACAATACAACACATTACATCGAAACAAGCATGCGTAAGAATTTTTTTTTAAAAAGCTTTATATCACCATGTGTGAATTTTAAATACTGATGTGTTGATTAATAACTACAGAGGCTATCCCGGCGAGTCCTACAAACACAAATTATGCAACCATACGTATTAGCCCACATAACTTTATTATAGCAGACGAACAAGAGCAAAGGTAAAAACTATCTATTAATTCGATCTTGATGATTTGAAATAATCACTCTCACCTTGAGTTGAATCCAATCTTGTGACCTTAATCATTCTCGAGAGAGAATCTGCAATAAGCCTAAACCCTGAACCTGAATTAAAAGTTTCGGTCACAGCATTGGTTGAGTATATTTTGATAATATTTATTAACGCACAATTTTACAAATAATAATAATAGGAGCAATACCGTAAGTAATAACACTTGTATTTGAGATTTCATAAATGTCGCACACGTATAGTGATTATCAACCATCCATTAATCGGATAAATAGATTATAAGCACATTAGGAACTATAGCTGCATACCATGGTGCTGCTGTATTTATCTATGTATTTTTATTTGGTAAATTGATTTTTTTTTAGTCAAATCATTGTGTACTATAATTTACTTACTTATTTCAAAAATTTTAGGGGTTGATTCCATGAAGCCATGGGGTTTTGTACATCGTGGATGTTGCGGATGTGGCGGATTCAGAAGGAAAGCCGAAATTGGTATCGAAAGAAGTTTGGCAGAAGAAAATATCGAGAGTTCTACCAGACTCTCAGAAAGAATGAAAAAATTGGAAGATTTTAAAATAATTCTTGAAAAATATGTTGTTGACACTTCATTATTAGAAACCATTAAACAACGACAAGAAGAAATTATTTTAAGACATACATTCTAGACATATTTTATTTAAAAGTAAACTTTTTAGAAAATTATAGATATATACAAAAATCCCTATAATAATAATTTTAAAAATTGTCAAATAAAATTTAAAAACAAAGATTTATTATTTTGAATCTTTTTTTTCAACTGAATTTGATAATTGGTTTTCGAGTGATTTCCTTTTAAAATACATAATAAAGTTGAATGTTGTTGCTTTTTTTGCCATTAATAACAAAAAATGAACTCCAGAATATTTCTTTATGATTGTCACTATGTAAATATCCAGTTTATTTCATAAAAGCAGCAATTAGTTGTGTATGCGATCCGGATTTTTTCGTCATTTATTATTATAGTAATAATAATAGTAGGACCCAAAGCAATGCATTTATAGATAATCTGCGAGTTTGCTTAGCTGGGAGCAATTTCAGCCATGGTTAGAGTGCAATATTACTATATTAGGTAAAAATACTTAAAACCTAAATTTGAATAAGGTCCACATAGAAATAAAAATATTATTTCCATGTCTTCGTGGAAATACTGTAAAGAACAACTTTTAAAACGCCCATATTGTGCCCATATCATTCATTCTAAGAAGGTTGTTTGCATTTGTGGTAAACAATTAAGTTTAAATGATGCTGGGATGAAGATTACTTAGTCGTCATGCAAAGGATGCTGGATTAAGGCAAAGAACATTTTCAATTTTTACAAATCTGCTCAAACTGAAAAAAAAAATATGATTCGAATGTATATGATAATATGGATGATGATCTACTTCAATAGATGAAATAAACGACGATAATGATGATACTTTAATCAAAAGTTTTAATTGATGATAAACTGTTAGAATATGAAAAGAATTCGTTGAAACGCGATTATTAAAATTCGAAGCTTTTTGATGAATATTTCTTTGTATCAAAAGGAATTCTACGTAAAGTTACAGCTATTCAAAAATGTCATTACATTTTTAACGACTGGGAAAATTCTAATTACTATTAATTTCTTTATATACCAAGAAAATTTTCTTTAATTAATTTACTTGTTCCAAAAGATTTAACCACGACCATGTTTTACTTTGATACTCTAATGTTGGCATACGGAATACAAAATTATAAATATCTTTCCTTTTGCTTTCTAATAATAATAAAATTTTGATAGAAACTAAAGTTGAGTGTAACACTAAGAATTACAAGTACAAGATCATGTGTCTGATTTATGTTAATCTATTAGTTATTTTCCTGACAGGACCATATTACTACTGTTATATAATTATTGTTATTAGAAGAAGATTTAACCGGATTGTTATTTTGAATTACTGTCATTTTCAGTTCTTCAGAAATATAAGTTACATTTTATTCACATTAACTTTATCTTTAACATCAATAAAATTCAGCGTCACATCGTTCAAATTAATTGGATTAATTCTTGCGTAATGAAATATTATCAGCAAAATCAGGACTTCCTTCTTTGATCATATTTGTTCTTGTTTTTCAGGATATTGCGTCTGAAATTTTAATGGAGTCAAATTTATTTCCAAAATGTTTAATGATGTCAATTCCACCCATCAACAGGTTCCAGCATACTCTCAACATTTTCACCTCTAAAATCTAATGGTCTTCGGTTATTAGTAGGGATATAAATTGTGTAAATATAAGTGATGAAGTTTGTTAAACACAGGCATGTGATCAATCTCAAGAAAATTTGAAAGTTGAGTTTTCTCTTTTTGTTGTTAATTCAAAATGTGCATTTGATAATTCCAATTCACAAAATGGGGTTCTATCATTTTTTTTTTGCATTTCTCATATTGCTTTGTTTAATGGTACTATAGCTTTTAATGCAATTTACTTTCTGCAATTTGTTTTAGAGCCCATAACACAAGGAATTTAAAACAATGTTAGAAACAATATTTAGGCTTCCAGTTGGACAAGGAATTGGTATCACTGCACGAACTTCACAAAATGAAGGATTTAATAGAATTAAACTTGTCTATACATCAAAATTAATTGATTATTCTGTATCATATCAAACAAGACATGCTGAAGGTGTTATTGAAATGGTAAGTATAGTTCATCAGGCTTTTATGTCACCTTTATCTCAACAGGATCTTTTGAAAAAAAAAGTGATCAGCAACAAATAAGAAATGTAGGTCAAGTTGAGAAGTGTAATTGGGATCAGGTAATCTTTTTTTATTTTCAATATCAAACTATCTTTTATACAAAAATTTTAATAGGAATTGGCCAAATTATTGATAAAAATTATTATTCAAAAATTGAAATCACAGAGACATTGCCGGCTTAGAGGAAATGTGTGTATCAGCATTTTTCAGTTTTCGGATTTTCATGATGGACAAAAAGATGCAATCTTATCTTTTGTTCAAAATCATGATACTCTTGTTCTGAAACAAACAGGTGGTGATATCAGTTATGACAATAGGGATTACTGTAGTGCTTTCACCATTGAAAGCACTAATTGATGATCAAGTGTTTGAATTGATCAATGCAGAAATACCTTGTTGTGGTCTTTATGCATCAACAGCACAACCAGTTAATTATAATTATCAACAAAAAGTCTTTTGTGTGGATCAACGAAGGTAATTTTCGCAACACCTGAAAAATCAAGTTCAATGGGGGATTTCAGAAAACGTTAGAAAGAGTTAGATATTTGATTCGTTGTTGATGAAGCACATTGCATTTTAGGTAAATTTTATAATAAACAAACTTATCTTCTCATGTTAACTCATTTGCTTATATTCTTGCTTTATTTAGAGGTTCTTGGAATCTTAAAAAAATCTTTCCAATTACACCGATTTTACTTCTATCAGCCACATGTAAAAAAAATATTGATGCATGACATGTCTTGGTACGGACCATCAAAAAATATCAGTGATTGATGGTAAATATTTTGGAAATAATTCAATTATTTTTCAAGTACAAAAAAAAAAGGACAAAAAAGAACAATATTCCGAAGATTATCAATGAAGTTGAAAATGCATTATTTACTGTGCACCTGTAAAAGGATGTGAAAATTTATTATCAAGTCTCCATGGTGAATTACCTGTTAAAGAGAATCTGGTGTGTTATTATTGCTTTGGAAATCAGATATGATTAAAATCATTGTAGCAATTAATGCTTTTGGAATGGGAATAAATGTACCAGATATTCGAATAGTTATTCATGCAGACTTTCCAATATTTCAATTATATGTAAAAGAATGGTCATGCAACATGTGATAGATTACCAGCAAAAACAATGGTGATTTTCAATGGAAAAGATATGGGAATCTATTCAGGAGGACAGGAGAGGCAACAAGATTATTTATTTATCTAAATTCTTATAAATTATAGTTCAGTCTTTAGTGAAGGACCTGAAGTTTTAAATCATGTTAGATATTTTAACAAATATTGTAAACAAATACTTGTTAACTATTTTTCCTGGCAAGGAGATCCTATGACTGAAGAGGTTATAGATGCAATTATTAAAGTAAACAACAACAAGTGAATAGAAATGATGTTGTAGATGTATTTAGATAGTAAGTATATTATATTATGATAAGCTAGAATGACCAGTTTAAATGTAGTAACAATTGATCTTTATTTAAATTACTAATATGTACATAAAAAAGGAAATTTTTAAAGTTATGGCACCACTCATAATATCCCATCACCATGATGGATCCACAAGATACTACAAGCCCCATATAATGCTATCAACGTTAATGTCTTCAGAATTATTACAGCTATTATAATTGTTATTGTTGTTACATTGTTGTAATGTTACTAGTGTAGTTGAATTATTATCATCATTGTTAATTAATACGAAAATAAAAAATATAGTATTAGTGAGTGACACTAAATCTGAGTTGTCATGGTCCTTAATCGTTGATGTTGTCTTCTAGACAAGCTTGTTCGTTGAAATGTGGATGGTGATTATATAAGGCTTCTAGCCCAAACTATTTTCGAAAAAAAGTAGTTTTGGCAATAAATTGGGCTTCTCTATTTTTATAAGAATGAACATGAGAAACTATATGAAGAAACTATATAAACCAACCTATTTTAATTTAAATAATTTGAAACTAATTCGCCCATTGGCAAAGTAATATCGATATAATTTTTCCTAAAATGTTCGGCAATTTCGAAGTAATTTTGACCGGAAACCTTATGCTTATTATTATAACAATCTTTTAGAAAGTCGGCTGGGTCTTCATACGGACATTCTGAAGAAACGTGATCATTATTGTCATTATAAATTTATAAACCTCTTTTGGTGTCCGTAATAAAAGCAGACGAAACAAGACCTTTTTCGTGAATTGCACATTGAATGTAAGTTCCATCAGATGACATTAATTATTGATGCCGTAGTTGTGATGAATACTTAACAGCTGTTTGTGAATATCTAGAACTTTATTGATACTGCTGCTGCTACTGCTATTACTACTATTACTACTATTACTACCATTACTATATACTATTAGCGATGTTATGAAATAATTCAGAATTATCAAAACGGGGTTTTGATCCGATCTTTACTTAATTTGAACAAATTCCACGATCATTTTTCTTAATTTAGTAATTCTACGTTCAATAATAAATTCTGATTTAACAACTGGCTAGAATAATTTCGAATTTTTTTATAAAAATTTGTAACTATAGCAGTAATAGAACTATACAATAACAGCGGGCTAAAGAATAGAAACTGTTAATGCCTTTCGAGGCGGTCTTAGGCCAACATGTTTCTCCCATGCAACCCACGAATAATTATTTAATAAAGATTTCGCCCATATTTTGGGCTTTTATGTATCTATTTTTCCCTTATATTTAGTAATTTCTTGTTTTTATTGCTCACTTTTTTGCAATATTTCACTCAAAAGAATGACATTTTAGATTGGAAGGATATTGAAATGCCTCGTTACAATTTCACAAAACCTATCTTTTTTAACCTCGTTATTTTTCAAATAAACATTATTCACGTCTTTTTTTTTTAAATTATTAATTTTGAAGAATAATTTGGCCTTTTTTTTTACCAGCTAACATTTTTTTTTTGGCAACAATAAATTTAATATTTAAAGCAGCAATTGAATAACAGCATTTTAACAACAATGATTTTTTACCTCCATGATAAAAATCTTTTTAACTAATTGATATAAAGGATCAAAGACTAATAAAATTTATATTTTTTTTTAATTATCTTTCCGTGATAAAATTTTCATTCTTTACAAAAAACATCACCAATGTCTTCATCGTTGTCAACAATTATCTATTTAACAAATTACGGGAGATGGTAGATGGTTAATTCTTGATAGGATATGGGTAAAGATGCAGTTAGGTTGGATGAAAATGACACCATCTAAGAGATCAAAATAAAACTATCTGTGACTTGTATGGATGTTACCTATCGAGAAATATATCCCCGGTCAGGCATACGTTGGACGCAAATGTATTCGTCGTTGACCAATCAATGGTAGAAGAGTATGAAAGCAAATAGCCAAAATATCTTTACCAATGTAAAGGTATATGCACGTGCACATATCAGTCAATTAAATAAAAATAAGATTCTTTACTATTTATTATGTTGCGTGTTTATCAAAATCAACCCATGTATTTATTTTGGGTAATTTTTTTATTGATAATCGATTTTATTTCATCAAAGTTGTTATTATTAATTATTATCTATTCGGAAAGCAATGGCGACATAATTTAAAAAATATGGATGCAGGTGCTTTTACTTTACCATTAACAACACACAATTACAAGATCCATTAATTTTAACTTTTCGATATGTAGTACGATTAAAATAGTCTCGTGACAAAAATTCTACACCAACAAAATTTACCATGAAAAAAAAACAACAATAGTAATGTTAAGTATTCTGACAATTTTTAATTTAGTGTTTATAGTATAATGCTTTTTAAAAGTTTTGTATGGGAATCTTTATTGTATCTACTAAATCAGCATCAATTAAATTTTCTACAAAATCAATTGCCAAAACAGCATCTATCATACCTTTTGTCATTTGCCAACTATTACATCATTGACAACCTTTAGAAATGTATCAATAGCATTTTTAGTAATCTGATAATTTAAAACTAATCTTGTAGAGTATAAACCATCGTCAGAAATCAAAATCCCATATTTCAACAAAGGCTCGGCTAATTGTTTAATTGTAATGTTGATGGATTTAGTATCAATAAATATCATGTTTGTATGTACTGGTTTAGTTATCGTAATACCATAATGTCTCAATCCTTTTTCTAATTGATTGGTTAGTTCATGTGAATGTATTATTGCATTAGGAAAATTGGTCATTATTGCATATTTTGCTGCTGCTGCCAAACTTCCTGATTGATGCCAACTTTGATAAAGAGATTCATAGATAGAAGAAGGGATAAAGAATAAGTGATCAATTAACAGGTTAGTTGTGATTCATATTCTATGGGAAAATTATACTTACGCTCCACCAAACAATCTTCTAAAAAGTCTTGCTCTATCGATAAAGTTTTGATTGCCAACTAAGACAGAGCCAATAGGTGCACCAATACCTTTGGACAGACATAAACTAACTGAATCAAAATATTTACAATAGTCTTGTATCGGAATACCAGTTGCAGCACTCGCATTCCATAATCTTGCACCATCCAAATGCGTTTTAATGGATGTGCTTCTAGAAAGTTTAGAAATTTGTATGATTTCTTCAATTGGCATTACCAAACCATCCAAAGTATTCTCTAAAGAAATTAATTTTGTAGGAGTTGAAAAAACGTCATAAACATCATCCTTGATAATTTTTGGTTGCAGATCATCAATTGCTGTTAGATAAATTTGATTTTTTGGTGTGATGGGAATGGTCGTTGCTTGTGAATGATATGCGAGACCGCCTAATTCATAATTGTGTATATGAGATCTTGCATCACATAGTATTGAATGTGGTGGTTGAGCTAAATGTGTTCTGATGGCAATTTGATTTGTCTTTATTTTTGAATTTGAAAAAAAAAATTTTTAATAAATTTTATCATTTATTTTATTTTATTTTTTTTTTTGAAGAAAAATAATTTACCATTGTTCCAGAAACAGCAAATAAAGCTGCCTGATGTCCTGTCAAATCTGCCATAAAATTTTCAAGATCATTGGTTGATTCATCTTCCTATATATATATGCACACACATAGTACAATAATAAATAATTTGTAATCAGAGCATTTGGGAGGAATTAATAAATACATTTGTGTTTAACCACCTTGAAAATATCATCACCGCCAGATGCTTTGCTCATTATATTCAACATTTCAAGTGTTGGAGTCGTTACTAATAATTATAATCAGCATGATAGTCATTATAATTGATATAAATGAAATTATTATTGCAATTATTGAAAATTGTCATTGCATATTTATATAAATACCTGTGTCACTCCTAAAATCACAAATTACGTTTTTAACATCACCAGATTTTTTTAATCTAACTGTTTTTGAAGATGCGTATGTAGAATAAAAATTATACCCATTTATCCATTGATTATCATTATTATGATTGTTGTGGTGATGATAATTTAATAATTTTGATCTGGAAATGCTTTTAATAAAATGTGAAAATTTCTTCATCTCAGTTAAATAATTCAGAAAAGAAAATTAAATAAATAAAAGTTTTTAAATTTAGATCGTCCGTTCATAATCAATTAATCAACTATGGAGGTAGGTGTTTGAGTGAGAAATTCCTTTTGATTGGATAATTTCGCTTTACAATTAATACCAGTTCTTTTACTAATACCGAATTAACCGGATTATTTAACCTGGTGAAATTGTTAAGCAACTATAACTGAACCAATCATTCTGAATTAAAATCGGTGACCACCGAAATTAAAGATGAAACCTTGGTGCTTTTACCCGCCCAAACTGAACCAATCGCGGAAAGTAAACTAAAAGAATGAGGCATATATTTAAGTATAACGTGACTACTTCATGCTATGTTAAAATGAAATTCAACTTCATGAATATATTTTTACATATTAATAGAAAATAAAATTTTGATTCATTATATTGTTTTTGAAATTTGGTTTATGTCAAAAATTTCCCAATTACAACCTTCCAAGTGATTATAAACAATTTTGTAAGGAACACTTTGACTCCACTATTACTGTTAAGTTTGCTTTATTCTGCATGTTAAATCTTAAAGTAAATATGAAAAAAAGTAACCTTTGCAGCCTGGTGTAGAATAATAAATAATTAAGCTAGACTCCTATTTTAATAGTTGTTAGGAAGCCCCAGTCTGTCTCTAAAATTTTATTATGATTGAAAAGTCACTTGCTAAAAGAGAATCAACAAATTTTTTCTTTTTGAAGTGAATGACAAATTTTATTATGTAATAGTAATGAATGACATTTGATCTGCAATGTCTTGTGACTGATATACATTTAAATAAATTGTTTCAATTTTCAAAAAAAAAAATCAATCACATCAACATAAAAAAACCAATAGGGACTTCCTTGTACAGCCCATGTGCATGTAAT